GGTGCCGGCATCCTAAGTGAGGATGGAAATTACAAATATACCGCCGAAAAGGAGGATAGATAGAACAGCTCATGATTTCAAATCTGAATGGAAGGGGGATATGCGTCGACTGTCCCTGTTAAAAGCTTACGGGTTAATATGGGATTCCATGGCGGATGTCCATGGCTCGCACATCGTGCAGAGGGATGAGATGTCAGGGTAACTCAAGAGTGAAGACCAAGCGACTCACTACTAATTTTTGCTACCTCGTGATATCCATGAGCGTGGTCGCAGAATTGGCATCCAATTGACGTCCCTAGTAGCTACTCCATTTTAGTACTAGATATCCCAAAACGTTAAAAAACGCTAACATCGACAATGAATACGATGTGGCCACGCACTTTCAGTCCTTCAGCACTTCATTTTGAAGTTTCAGGTTTCATAAATATCTTGAGATGTACCATTTTGCGACACACGCAATACCAAGGTATGCTAGAATGGAGAAAATCAATATCAACGATTTTGTTAACTTTCATTTTCGAGATAATGCATTGACCAGGTGAGGTTGAGGAGGAGCCAAGGAGAAGCGTTCTGTGAGATCGCAAACAAGGAGGTCAAGGTAAGCAGAAGAAAAGGCATGCAACAGCTTTCCGGTGGTAAGGCTATTGGAACGGAAGAGGGACGCGGCAAGTGTGCGTGGAATCTGTGTGGAAATTAAGAAAGCAGGCTGCGTTGCAAAAGTAATAATTAGCCTACTGTTCCTATTGCGTTTGAAGAACCGACGACCGGTGAATTTATAGCCTATAAAATGTGCACGAAGAGCATCAATAAGTGTAACCAAGCTATTGAATCAACCTTCGCTATGAACTCATTTTATGGGCAAACAGTATACATCTAGCAATACCTAAATAACAGATTCTGATTAGTACAAGACCTGTGTTAAAGCCAGGATAAATGTAGGACATGCAAGTCGAGAACTCCGTTAACGATTGGCCACCGCAGGATTGGGAGAATTACACGTGGCCATGATAGCTTCGCTTGGAGGAATAGGCTTGAATGCCGGTCCACTAGTCATGCAGTACTGAGTGGATCAGTAGAACCCGTCGCGCGTTCTCGGGCGAATAGCATCAACATTCTTCTTTGAAGGTGTTCTATAGCCGCTTAGGATCAAATCTAAAGCTTGTGAAGTGCCGGGGTACAAGCATGTTCACCCATATCGTCAAATAATATCAGCAGGCTCGAGAAGGGTCCAGACTCTGAAGGGTTCCATAGATCAAGTCCACTCGGAACCACTGGTAATTTTGAGGAATCTGGTCACAATTGGATTTGTGAGGACTACATTGGATGCCGTGATGTTCTAACAATCACTAATCAGATTCAAAAAATACAACGCACATGTGGGAGACGTATCTTATCTGACAATTGTCGAATACTTTAGCTTGTCATATGTTCCATATATTCTCAATTTGAACAGAGCTTACGGTCACATATCAAGCTACAGCATTGCTTGACTCAGAGTTGAATGGAGAACCCAAGAGAACTGAAGGTTTATGTCATTACTATCGAGATGATTGCGCGTTCTGTGGATGAAAACGCGCAGACTGAGGCAATAAATGTGATTCCCAAGACGCCACTCCCCATTTCAACTTGATATGATAAGGTGCAGTGATAGTAGAGAAAGACCCCCTAGTCGCTGAAGAAGACATTTAAACCAAATTAGAAGTTGAACCAACCTTCATTGCTCACGTGCATCTGACTATCGCATCGCGGTCGCTGGGCACCTCCGCCTGAACGAAAGAAGGAAGCCTCCAGGGCAATATCTCCATACAGTGTTTCGAGTGCTAGTGTAACATCATCCTGAACCAAAGAATCCCACAAGATAAACTACAAAAAAGTACAACAGAAGGTATCAATCATACAGCGATGCGAGAGAAAGAATTGAGCCGATGCGCGGAAGTGGAATGTCTGTTATTCGTAAGACCAAAGAACAAGTAAGCAAGCCTTCGAATTTTAGAACGGGGGTATATATCACAAGTTGCCTGCTTGGGGTATGGTAAAGAGATCCGTGAACGTGAGAGGGCATCTGAGGTCTGCTAAGGCTTGTCAATCAAGAAGCACAATGATAGCTGTCCAAAGTTAGAACTTGCCTTACTTTGCCGTTACGGCGTTGGAAAGATTGGCATGTCCCTGATGGAGGGCACTAGAAACTCGCTTCTCAGAGAAACAAGTCGATAGATCCTGACCCGCCGCGCGGAAACAATCAACAGGGATGAAACCCTGAGCACGTATGTTTTTCCCCTCGTGTGTGAGAATGTCTTCAAAAGCTGGAAGCTTCTCCACGAAAGCCCAACCATCGTCGAAGAGACGTAGGACCTTAACGCTGTCCGCAGTGATAACCGTGAGCTCATCATGACGGGTGCTTATGAACGGGCGTTTTATGGATTCAACTTCTGCGAATTCAACAGTAGGAGAGACAGGATCAGAGAAGGGATTAAAAGGGTCGACAAAAGGATTGGGAGGCAAAGCAGGAACAACCACTGTTCCATTGGTCAAGGAACGAGAGGTACTATGCACTGTAGCGGTACTCATTGGTCGACTGGAGCTCCAGTCTCCGGATTGAGTTTTAGGAGGCATAGGGAACGCAAAGGATTCCGAAGGCGAGAAAGGTCGGACGGATACCGGAGAAGAAGCTTCCCGGTCATCACCAAGGCCACTAGGGACGATGAGATAATGCGCCCCACTACTGTTGCTTGTGGAACTGGCCATAGATGTTCGATTATTTGGCGCGGGAGCTTGTGAGTTATCGAATGTGATGAGTATGGGCGAACTAGATATGGCTGAGTTTGGGCTGAAGAGTTGGATATTGTTACTGCCACGGATTTCGGCCATGGGCGGAAGAGAAGGAACAGTGTCGAAAGAGATGTTCAGCCTGGGAGTCCGCGCATGGTCGATGGTGGTTTCGAAGCTGCTGCGGAAACTGACGCGGTCGGATGGATTCGCGGTAGCCGTGGAATCATTCCCCGTACCGAGTCGAGTTCTAAATCCACTCCACCACTGGTTCCTTCGTTCCGAACGACGTTGGCGGTAGCGTCCGCGCAAAAGAATGACTATCACAGCAAGGAGGCCGAGCGTAATGACGATGACCATACCCGCGATCGCACCACCAGGTAGTCCACGTCTAACGTCATTGGAAGCGGGGCTCCTTGTGTTGATTACACCATTTGGGTCAGGAAAAGCGGTAGACCCTGGGAAATCCCTCACAGAGGAAGCTGTAGCTTTAGAGATGGCCGTGTCGGTATTGCCGCCGATAATGGAGCCGCCGATAATGGATCCGCTTCCTGGACTGTTAGCTGTGCCAACTGAATTTACATCATTGGCATCCCCGACGGATCCATCAACGTTGTTAATACTACCACTGACGTTACTGCCATTGAGGCTGTTACCATTGGTAGTAGAGGAGTTCGAAGCACTATTGCCGCTAGACCCGTTGGCTGACTCATTTCGACCTGTAGAGACATTGCCAGACGTGTCAGTTGACTGGGGTGAAGACCCTGTGCTGGTTCCGGGTGCAACAATAGTAGAACCCCCAATATTGACAACGCTTGTGTACTCATCAATAGATCCGGAAGTTGGAGAGGATCCGTCGTTCGACCTACCCCCATCTCCAGGGTTGTTTCCACCATTGTCGCCCACAGGCGGTGTTGGCGTTGGCGTTGATACTGACGCTGGAATGTCTGTTGGAGCGGGGGTGAGGGTCGTTCCACGCACTGGCGTGGGTGTGGGAGTCGATGGCATAGTAGCCGGCCTGTTGATATTCGTTCCTGCAATGAGTGGAGTAATTAAAGGACCAAGGAGAGGTATTGAGGGCATAGATATGGGAAGTGTTATGAGGGCAGGTGCACGAGCCTGGAGGGGGATGTGACTACGGCCAATACGTGCATGATTGCGCTTCTGTCTGGCGACGTGCATTATGAACCAATCTCTCCAGCAAAAGAGAAAAAGCCGCGAGAACGCGTCGGAGGGCCTTTGAGGATTGTAAAGAACGTGGGGGATGAAAGGAAAGACTCAAGACAGAGGGAAAAATGAGATCAACGAGGGCAGAAGCATGAAGCACGAGCAGGGGGTGAAGAGATTCCACGACTGTACGTTTTGCCAAGATAACGGAGGATGGAGCTTATGAAAAACAGAATACAAATAAAAAGAAGGAATACTTGCCCTTATGCAGTAATCAGGGTTTGATCGCGACATGTCAAACAACTGACCCCACTTGAAGCTCTCTCGTTCTCTGTATTTCTGGCCTTGGCCCTCCTCCCGTTTCTTGGCTTCTTGTGCGGCACAACTTCTCTCTATCTTGATGTCGGATTCCCCTTTGTGTGGCGGTAGGGCAGAAAGTATGAGATCTGCCTAGGCCAGCTTGTGTGGTTTCACGTGTCTCCTTATGTCACTCAGCTTGTGCACATGCACATGGACCTGTGGGTGAACCATATGTCTCTTGATCAACCTCTCGGCGGATTGTTGGCCAGCCTACAGATGCATTAAACAATTGATATAGTTCTTGCCATTGGATTTACCACTTGTTATCTCCATGTACGAAGAACATTCACTGTTGAGAATCTCTATGGACATTTCGGATATCAAGCTTATCCTATACTACACAGTTGAGACCTCAATCAAGTTGGTCCGGACACTTAGCACCCTCTAAATACGGCAAAGCTACTATAAAGGAGATGTTTCGCCTACTATGTGTACATGTCGATACTAACGTGGAGTTCGGATTGTATTGCCATACGTCAGTGATTGGTGATAATTCTGAATCGACGACTATACGTTTCGTTCGTTTCGTTCGTGTCAGTTCAAATGAATGCCAGCCGTCGCACCTGGAAAATACGACAATCTCTGTTGATGTACGAAGCGCGGCTGCAGTTCGTATCTTATACTCAAGAAGATTGATTGTACATAACGTATGAAGAAAAAGGAGTCCACGCAGTCAGCGAGGACTTGGAAAGTGCATATGAAAAATTTTCGGATACGGGGAATCGAACCCCGAGCTGCCGCGATATATGCACGTGCACACTATGAGAGGCGGCAATGTTAGCCGTTACACCATATCCGAATACTTCTCTATAGCATTATAGAAGCCTATATCTCTATCCTCGTCTTATCTACCGACTCCGAAGTTCACAAGTTATGTCAAGGATAAGATTTTATGCATTCTTGTGTACTGTCGTCCACTAGATTCGGTATCTGGAAAGACTGGATTTTCCCACTACACACATTCTTCGAGCCGCTATTTCGGGTGGAAGTTTCGGCACCGGAAGAGTCAACACCCACATCAGATTCATGACTTCTTACTTCTAATTTCAGACTTCTTTCGAAAAACATGTGTACTAGCGCACGACTTTGCTTCTAACCATCTATCGAAATGTAGCATACATACGGTTAGGATGCCTAGATCACTTTTCTCCCACATGGATAACAAAAGAAGAGAATCTGTCGGCTAGTAATACAGGCGGTACATATGATACAAACACTACGTGTTAGATATATATACATCTATCTAGGCTAAACACATTAGAAAAGATAGGATTAAAGTAGAGAAACGGAATTGATGGGGAGGAGCAAAGAAAAAATCGAAGAAGTGTGTGTGAATGAGAAGTTACTGAGACACTGTGTGAATGCGAAGGTTACTGTGACAACAATGCGAAAAGCACAAGCGTCAGTCCTGTGATACTCAGAAGCCTCATCGAGGTCTCCTTGACATAAGTCGTAGAAAACGATGATGATAAGATGCGCTTGAACTCGGTCTCGGGGTCCATCCCATCGTCCGTACCGAACAACCTGTACGTCGAAACAGACTGACACTTTGAAGGAGGTGACGACAGAGCAAATCTGATTTTCGCATATTGTTGCTCGAAGAGTGCACGAGCTAGGGAAAGAACACGTTCGAAATTGGGACCGAGGGATCCAGTAACAGAGAAGAGGGCTTGTGATTGGGAAGGGTTTGGAATAGTGTGCAAGGCGTTCAGGATGCAAGGGAGCATACATGACGGGCAGCGATAGACGTCGGAAAGTGTCTCGTGAATCCACTGTAGATGTCCGATGAGATGAAAGGTGTATGATGGGGCGCGAAGCCACAAACGTACATCAGATATGTGTTCTAGACACACTATAGATTCACAACAAGATGTCGAATATCGAATCAATGATATTTCGAAGCTACTGCTTGATTAGTCGACAGAGCTGGATGTATAATGCTGCGCAACACACCAATGTGCACAATCCCTGCTACTGTACAACTCATCCTCCCGTTCTTCCGTCATTCGAGCCTTCCGTTTGAGAATTGAAGGTAGGGGCTTTGAGGTGCGATGCGTGAGCGGGCGAAGACTCAAGCGTGGTCTCAAATCCGACTGGACATCAGGGTTTGTGGTGAACTTCGACACTGTCACTTGCTCATCCTCGGGCTCATGCCCTTCGACAATGCTCTCAAAACGTAGTGGAGACGATGGGCGGCGGAATCGGATCGACCGGGGAGACGTAGGGAGCGACATTGTAGGGTAAGTGGGCCGTAGGGACAAGGCCTGAGCACTTCCAGCACACGATCCCTTTTTTATAACCTTGTTGGGAAAGGTGTGGGATAGGTGTAGATGGCTATCCTACTGGGTGAAACGAGTCGGAGACAATAGAGATTATAGACGCCCGATTAGGATGATTATATAGAATTCTGGAATTGAGATGATGTTTCAAAATTCTGAATATAATGAATATGGCTAGGTACGAAACTCAACGCACATTGAAATGATTGAAATGGACCCAAGTACTCGATCACCAGAAAGCCTGCGCAATGTTCGATGAGTATCACGTATGCACAGGGCTCAGGAACAGCTTCGCGAATGCTAGTTGTCATTTTGCATTGAGGAATTGTGACCTAGTTGCTATTGTTGGCTCCAATGGGACTCACTGGCATCTGCGTGAGCAAGGGTGGCGGAAGAACAGAAAAAATAGTTGGCAATCCATCCTAAAATAGAAAAGAGAAATAATGAGAAATATGTTAGGGATTTGCGCTTCGATCACGTGTACCTCCTCAAACAGGAAGGGCTTAGTTTTGCAATAGACTTCTTTCATATAGTACTTACATGCAACATCCTTCTCTGTGGCCGGGTTGCGATCGTTGCAATGTGAAGCAACGGCGTAAAAGGCGATCCGGATGAACACCGGTAACACTCAATATGTTCATCGCCACACCGGCCGCTTTCATAACCATAGGTCCACTAGGATAACTTTGCCATATCTTCAGGTTTATGGGTAGGCAGAATGTTTCTGACAGTCGATCAGGACGTTTTCATCCCTCCCTCCAAATACTGATAAAGATACTTACCGACTACCTCACTTGCGCAGGTCGACTGTGTCGGAGGGGCTTCGAATATCGGGCGCCTAATAGTTTTCTGGAACAAATCAGATCGTTAACATGACTACTCTTGCATGCTGTGTTCCAGGCAGTAGCAATTGACCATGGCAATCATTGATTTGTTTCAAATGAAGGTTTTACCTGCTCGTGCGGAGATGACAAAGTATATCTCTTACACCGTGCGGGATAATCTTCATCCCTTTCACGACATGCTCTAGCGTGTGTTTCTATGACACACGCATGAATGAAAGAGGACAGTTCCGTATGGCTGATCTTTGATCTTCAATGTGTCAGACAAAAATCGGCGATATGTTGTTGTCCAATCCTCGGATAAGACAGTCGATATGACGTTTCTTCTGACGTACCCTTTTCGAAGAGGCTCTTATCTTTGGAAAGATTGGATCTATTTACCGCCTTTGTTCTTGTTGAAGCCAGATGTATAGTATTCCCGTTCTTGTACTTCTATTGCAGTACTTTGCATTCCAACACTCTGCATCATATCCTATGCACATATTCACGATGTGAGGAACCACTGAACTCACGGAATCACTGACTTTGCGCCACTGCCATCCTCGAGGTCAAGATACAAAACAAGTCGAGGAAAAAATGGACGGAGTCGAACTGTTATCCAGAGAAATATATGGCTGACTGTTTTTCTCGTACGTGACCTGTGGGCGTACGCAAATTTGTTCTCGATTTTTGTAACATTCGCCCACCAGATAGCTCAATCAGCCTTCCTTCTGCCTATCTTGTGTAGATACCGAGAGAGCTTTCACTCAGAGTTGCACTTGGGATCGTTGGCTTGAATATACAGGATCTTTAAATTAGTACTCAGAAACGCCCAAGGGTGTCACTAGGCACTAAATCGACGTTTCATTATGATTGATCTTGTCACAGTGAAACCCCTGATGTTTACGTTCGGATCCACGCAGGAACTTTCCGGCTCAAGACAACTATTGGAAGAGTATGACTCAATCGGAGAATCTCGTCACCCGGTACTGTCATGGTTCACAGAGATACTTATGTAGGTGATGAAAAGCAGCGCTCAATACGAAGTATATTCACAAATTTTTTCGCTCAATCGGATGGGTGATTATCATTTCTGGTTAGTAGTTTTTAACAATCTGCATTATCATCCGGACCTCTTCCTCCCTTTTCTCATGGACAGGATCCCGCTCTAGTGTGGCAGGGGCTTTGGCATATGCATTTTTTTCAAATTTATCAACGTGATGAGGTTTCTGAAGATTTGACCATCTTATGAGTTTCAATTGCTTTCTAAAAATTGGTTCTGAGCACTCCTAATGTTTTTATCGCAAGTTGTTGACGGCGTCACCTGATTGACGGATTCTCATTCTCTCAGGGTTGCAAATGCGGAGCTTCTCACTCCAGACATACGTCCATCATTAGAGTACTATGTACCTGCAGTGTGGTGACTGTTTGAACCTGTCCCTGAGTGTTTTCTCCTTCTCTTTCGCTCTCTGCTTCCTATTCCTAATCCTCTTCATCAGATGATGTCGATGAGCTCTGTAGGAGTGAATATGATCTCGTCGAAACTGATCGACTCAATAATCTCGTGGTCTCTGGATTCTGCGCGTGCGGACTGGCCTCAAAGGATGAGGTAATTGCACATAAGGACAACTTTGGGATTATTGATGATTCGGTCAGTTATGCTTTTTCAGTCTCAAATGGACACTTACGAAGTCTTTGCGTAGTTCCCCTTGCTGCCATGCGCTTTCCTATCTCTGCACTGATGGATCAACAACTTAAATCTAGTCATAGATCTCGAAGTCTTACAAAATTCTTCAAACTCACCAGTATGTTTCTCCATGAGATGATTCACATCTTGGTCACAATCTGGGCTGTACAAGGGTGGATATTCAGATTCCAGGTGTTCGTTTGAAGTATCTCCTGGTCTGGAATGCCTGCTGCTTTGTTCTGGGGCAGCTGTGCATGCTCGAGAAACTAGTTTTTTTGATTAGTCTGTGTTTGGCAAAGTGTAGTTTTAACTCTCTAAAAAAATTGCAAGCTGGCTCAAACTTGTTATATTCAAAAAGAATCGGCCGGATTGTCGAAAAAATATCGTTTGCTAAATCAGGTTCCGATCAGCTGAACTTCCTTGACCATGCCCGATTAGACAGGCCAATAGAACTCAGAAGCTGGTCATAGCATACTAAACCACCCAAAAGGTGAGAATAGCGCCGTATAAAAGTAGTGACACAACTTGGACACAACTTCCCGGCCCCTTTTTCCTTTTGGGGAATGTCGAGAGAGAGATGGGTATCGGATGGGGTCGCCCCCACGTACAGACGAACTGGTCCATAGGTACTACGGCGCATAAGGTAGGCATCCTGATGGTCCTTCCCCCGGCACTCGCTATAAAAGCAGTTATATGAATTTCGAGACTATGTATATATCAACCCAATTTGATTTGCAACACCTACTTTGTTTCTGAGACTTCCCACGATTCATACCCCAATCTTACTCAACATCCACCTCGCTAACGTCAAATTTTCACTTCTTACTCTCTTCTTGCCATCCTCCTCTGCTGTTTTCCAGGTTGTCTACCTGCACCCTTGTCCTGCTATGCTTAATACCAGTGCTTCACAATGCCACCATTCACTTTAACAAGACTCCAAAATTGGTTACTGAAATCGCTCCTTCGGACTTCCTCATGGCCGCCTCCTCATCGTCTCTGACGGTCCCCAGCC